GGAGATACCGTGGAGACAATGTCAAATCACATGCAGACCTCATGGAAACACACCATGGGCACACGATAGACATGATGGAGATAGCAGACACCATGGAGACACCGTAGATCACATGTAAACACCACGGAGACAGTGGAGACACCAGAGAGACACCGAAGTTCACATGAAGAGACACCGGGAAGACTGTAGACACACCGTGAAGACACTGAAGATCACACGGGGACACAATTAAGACGCAATGGAGACAGTAGACACCATAGCCGTGGAGACACGGCGGAGACAGTGGAGTTGGGCGTGTTGCTCACGCAGGTACCCCGTGCTCGCGATCCGCGCGGTGCAAAGTCCACGCGGCCTTCTCGCCCTCGCTACTCGCCACCAACCCCCCACCCCCGTCCCTCCAGCTCACTCGGCCTCAAACACTCACAGCGCTCACTCGCCCGCAAAGCATTCGGCCGTCACGTGGACAGGCCGAGCCTTCGAGTTTTGTCCCCGTGGTTTTAATTTTATTCAATTTGATGGAACATCTGGCTTGCAACCACGTGTGCCATGGTGCCGCCTGACACGCGCAAAGCAAACGCGTGATAGCACCACTGTGCTACCGGCGGCGGTGTAGTGGCGACGGACAAAGAATCCGTTCGTTCGAAAGCCTCGCGTAATAACGATAATCATTGTTAAGACGAAAGTCGCTGTTAATAATTTTCTTGCAATTGGTGTCGCCAAGAATCCATTTTAGAAATCTCACAACAGCTTTGCAATCATTTGCGCTGGAAAACGGCTCACTGAAGCGGTTATCACAGAGTTGCCTCTGAGATCCCTTCAAGTGACCTCTAGACCATCCACTAAGGGGGAGCACTCTCTCACCCGTCCTGCCAGAGCCATGCCCGTCACCCTACAGTAAAACTCACAGGGCTGGCTGGAATTTATAGACACATTTGGACAAATCGAGTGCAGAACCTTCATCTACCTACGTGACTTCACCGAAAGAACCAAAGAGTATGGATTCCTACAGTCACGAAAGCTTCAAATCAAGGGGTTTTTTGCACCAGTTATTGGTGACTGAGCCAAGATCATCAATTGACAATATTTGAGGAACCTGGATTTTAACCACAGGCGGCCGAAACATGGATTCGAAGTCAGGAACTCGACGACACCAGCTCAGAGCTCCGACCTCCGAACCAACCCAGGGTGGTGGGTGGCGGGACAGGGAATGTCGGCGCGTGGTCACGGGGCAGGGAACGTCGGCGCGTGGTCACGGGGCAAACGCCATCGCCCACCCACCCCACGCGCTCTACACTCGGGGTCATTGCAGGCTGGCCTAATGTGGTGGGGGGGGCGGGGGAGCACAGAAATCACAATTAACGCAATTTCAGAATCGTGTAGCAGCGTCACCAAATGCCACTACCAGGCGCTCACAATTTTCCATCCGCGTGGGGGGGACAACCCAGCAGCACGCACGCGCACCGAGCCTGGCGCAGGGATTCAGAAATGCGTGCCTCTTGGCGGATGGTTGCCAGAGCATTGGCGACAATGCGGCATAATTAACGAAAACGCACGAACCCGCACGCTCCCAGTCTCGTTGAATTGTGTGGGTTGGCAATAATAATTGTTATTACCACGTTTTATTGGGCAAAGAAAAGGCCTCACTGTGTCTCAAAACTCTTTTTCAGGAGGGTCCTGCCAAGTGTCATATAGCAGGTGGAGCAAGGGCTCTGTATTCTCCCAGTAATTTGAGGTTATAAGCTGGCAACATTTTCGTGCCGCGACGCTGGCACACAATGGCTTACCCTACTTTGAACAGCCTCATGGGATCTTTAACGTCCACCGTCCAGCAGACGGCAAGTGGTAGTTGTTAACAGTTGGTTACGCCCGCGGACATTAACCGGGGCGGCCGCGGGTCTGGAACTGCGAGCCTCTGCAACGAGCGGCGAGCGAGAGACCCCTGGGCCTGCGATGGGTTTGAGCAGCAAGCAAAGCGGCACACGGCGCTAGCGTGCGTGGGCCCACAAACGCGCCATCGGCCCTCGCGGCACCCACGTTCGCACACGCGCGAGCGTGACGCGGCACGAAAAAAACGCCATCTCCTACCCCCCTCCGCGCCCGCGTGCCCCTATTACAGAAGGGGACAAAATGTTGTGAGCGAGTGCCTGTTAAGGCCGGCACTGGGGCGTTCATGGTCAGAACCGCCTGTGCCAGACCACCTTTATCTTAGCGTGGCTCAATGCTGATTTCACACAGCACCAGGTGTGCGAGTTGGCTTGAGTCGACCGCAGGGAAGGCGGTCCCGCCAGGTTTGAATGAACTATTGGTGAAGTGAAAATACACGTCAGCATTCTGTGTGTGAACAAAAACACTTTCATTATGCCATGAAGGAAACTCTCTGCTATGAAGAAGGGCTACTGCCTAAAACGTCACCGAGCATATACACGTTTTCCTCTGAGAGGCGCAGTCGTCTTCACGAATGTGTTTAGTAATTAAAATATATATACGTACCCCACTGCAAAAGTTAATCACATTTTTCAGGAATTATATAACTTCATTATATGTGCCCATAAAAGTCTGCGACGAAATCACACGGAATGCACCCGATCTTGTTACATCGCTTAAATCTGCACAGGGACGAGCCTGGATTGCGCTTGAGAGGGTGAATAACATGCCTGACAGGTTATACGAGGCGGTTGCATTGTAAGTCTTTATCCACACAGGATGAGGCTATCATCCAGCAGTGGATTGGCATAAACAGCTGTATGTGATATTAATATTCTTAGGTTTATTCGGTAAAGTCACGTAGGTAAAACATCAAAATTAATAAAAATAAATAATTTTGATGTTTTACCTACGTGACTTTACCGAAAAAAACCTAAGAATATGAATCCTTGCAGTCACGAAAGCTTCAAATCTAGCTGTATGTGAATAAGTAGAGTGACAGCCGGATGTCTCTGTGGTTAGGTGCCATATGACTTTCGATCCGGTTTCAAATTCAAATCCCTGTCATGGATAGACTCGACCAATCATCCCTCCTTGGGTGGATTAAATCAGCACCGCTTTGTGGGAAGTCAGGAGTAATGGGACTGAAAACTGATGGGCATCGCTCCACCAAACGGCCAGAGTTATGAAACCACTTCAACACGAGGGTGTTTTTCCACACACATCCCTGCTTACCACAAGCAACGATGAACATGACCTGCGCTTGCCACTGCTGCGGCTTTCGCACAAACTGGACCCCCCCCCCGCCCATTATAAAACACTCAGTCACTAAACGACACGCAATAAAATGGGATTCCAATAGAGCCGATCTATCTTCCCGGCACGGTACCAGGGTTCATACGCTTGCTGTGCCCAGTGCTAACAGCGGTCCAAAGATCCGCGATACGACCCCACGGATGAGTGTCACTGACGAGTCCATGCGAGTGACAGGAGTCAAGTTCACCCCGTCTGTCACTCACCCGGCCCCGCGGACGTCTATTGATTTGGGGGAAAAGAGAGTTGTTGCACCGTTGCGTACACACCGCATTGGGTAGTCGGTGGACAATAAATTGCTCAGGGTCAGGACCTGCGACGGGTCCGATATGCGATGTTCGACTGTCCTCGTAACTTGAAATGCTAAAATCCCGATTCGCGGTCCGGCAACGACCGGTGACCCTGGGCTGTCCCACATCCCCCGTCGGTGGCGGTCAACCAGGGCCGTTCGACACAAGACGCCCAGAATCCCCAACGACGTCCTCGTGATGGAGACCTTTTGTAAAATGGTGCAAAAAATGGTGCAAAAAGCCCGGAACCATTCCATTGCAAGGTAAGCCGGATTGAGCCTGTGGCCAATGGCTTGTTGTATTACTGCAGGTGACCGCCGTGACTAACAGGATGCTGTGGGAGCTGCCGCGAGGTTGTAGACAGCAGAGGGCGGTGCAGCATTGTTGTCCCATACTTCTATGCGCCCCCCCCGACCCCCACCTTCACCAAAGACGCGTTGACCGGCGTGGTCGGGACGCGGCGGGGGGTGGGGACAGAGACACAAAAAGGGGCCCAATATGACTGAGGCACTGCACCACTGCTCCCCACGCAGAGCTGTGGGCTCCGTTTGCAATTGGTAACGGTGCCCGCGCGCTGTCCATTGTGAACCACGCCTGCTCAGTGACCAGGGCGATGGCAGTACAGCAAGTGGGTTCTGACCCATCTGTGCATGCCGGCGGCGTGCGATGCCGGTATTTGAGTGGGGTGTTAGCCCCTCACAGAGCTGCGAGTTAGGGGTGCGATTTCCCTTAATTCACAATCATCATCAGCAGCAGCCACCATCATTCCACTGCTGGATGAAGGCCTCTCCAAGCTGTAGCCACCGTTCACGAACGATGCTACACTTTTCAGTGCAAGTTTAGGGAAATCGCTCTGTCTGGCATTGACAAATCCATGATCAATCCCGGAAGGCTGGATTGATCGTGACTTGTCAAGTGACAGACTAAGCCCCGGATCAATCCAGCAGTGAATCGATCATGACCGATTTCCAACGAAAGACTAAGCCACGAGTCCACTGCTGGATTGGAGGCCTCCCTTTAAGCTGTTGCCATCCACCGCAATGCCGCACGCATCTCAAACAAATCCCAAACATCACCACCCCCCAACCCCCATTCACGTCACCATCACGCCATGCTCACTCCACTGCTGGGTCATGGCCGTTCGTGTCAACGGCAGACTTGAACCGTGATCAGCACAAGAGTTAATGGGATGGGGAGGGGGGGAAATCCCTTAGTCTCGCCACCGGCCACGATCACCGCTAGACGAGGGCACAGACGCCAGTCCCGTGACCCCACTCAACACTCAACAGCGCACATCGTGTGACGAGAGAGGCCGGCCCTCATGAGGCCGCATTGTCTAGGCCCGAGCAACGACAACCCCACCGGGGGGGGGAGCCGCCGTGACAAGGGAGCCAGACGGAGCCAGACGGAGCCGTGGCAGGAGCCGTGGCTACGGGGGGAGCTGGAGCCGCACGCTGCCGGGAGTCGCCATACCTCCCCATTGCGCAGCGCCACGCGTTGATCCTCAGTAGCCGAATCCTCGACTTCTCCCTGCGCCGACATCTTGGACTGGGAGGGGGGCGGGGCAAAGAAAGACCGGGGGGAGGGTGCGGGGGCTTACAAGTGGAAGAGGGGCGTGGCCACGGGGCCCTTATATGGGTCGTGGGAGGAGCTATACGATGAGGGGCGTGGCCACGAGGCCCTTATATGGGTCGTGGAAGGGGCTATACGGCGAGGGGCGTGGCCACGATGCCCTTATATGGGTCGTGGGAGGAGCTATACGGCGAGGAGCGTGGCCACGGGGCCTTATATGGGTCGTGGGAGGGGCTATACGGCGAGGGGCGTGGCCACGGGGGCCTTATATGGGTCGTGGGAGGGGCTTTATGGCGAAGGAAGGGGTCACGAGGCCCTTATATGGGCAGTAGGAGTGGCTATATGGCGAGGGGCGGGGTCACGACGGCTTGTGTGGGCTGGAGGCGGGGACTATTGTACCTGAAGGCGGGATGAAGGCGGGATGATTCCGACCTTATTTGCGTGGAGGGAAGGGCTACGTTACCTGATGCGGGATCGAACCAGGGGCTGTCACCTTTAGGGGCCGTCCATAAATGACGTCACGCGATTTTGGACGATTTTTGAACCCCCCCCCTCGTCGCACGGCGTCACAAAAAGTCAGACCCCCCCCTCAAATATGACGCGCCACATTAAATGCGCACTCCAATGACAATAGTTTAAAGCGATTTGAAGCATGTTTTTTTTTTTGGGGGGGGGGGTCTGACTGTGTGACGTCATATTTGACGGGGGGGGGATCTGACTTTTTGTGACGCCGTGTGACGAAGGGGGGGGGGGGGGTCAAAAATCGTCCAAAATCGCGTGACGTCATTTATGGACGAGTAACAAAACAATATCTTTGTAAACGTGAAAATATTGTCGGGTGGGGGGGGGGGGTTATTGAGAAAAAGAAGGTTCACATAAAACTACCACGTAGCCGAATTCAAAAACAGATCATCGGTTTTCATCCTACCTGCCTATGTCGGCTGTTACTTCCGACTCTCTGTCTCTCTTTCTATGTCTCTCTCTTAGATCTCTCATGGCTCACATGTCCTTTGCATTGCACCCGTTGGGTTGCACTCCCTCGTCGAGGAGGCCGCTCTCCTCCAATCTTACAGTTACATGCTAATCTCTCACATTAACATCACGCTAATCTCTCACATTAACATCACGCTAATCTCTCACATTAACATCATGCTAATTTCTCACATTAACATCATGCTAATTTCTCACATTAACATCACGCTAATCTCTCACATTAACATCACGCTAATCTCTCACATTAACATCATGCTAATTTCTCACATTAACATCACGCTAATCTCTCACATTAACATCATGCTAATCTCTCACATTAACATCATGCTAATCTCTCACATTAACATCACGCTAATCTCTCACATTAACATCATGCTAATCTCTCACATTAACATCATGCTAATTTCTCACATTAACATCACGCTAATCTCTCACATTAACATCATGCTAATTTCTCACATTAACATCATGCTAATTTCTCACATTAACATCACGCTAATCTCTCACATTAACATCACGCTAATCTCTCACATTAACATCATGCTAATTTCTCACATTAACATCATGCTAATTTCTCACATTAACATCACGCTAATCTCTCACATTAACATCACGCTAATCTCTCACATTAACATCATGCTAATTTCTCACATTAACATCACGCTAATCTCTCACATTAACATCATGCTAATCTCTCACATTAACATCATGCTAATCTCTCACATTAACATCACGCTAATCTCTCACATTAACATCATGCTAATCTCTCACATTAACATCATGCTAATTTCTCACATTAACATCACGCTAATCTCTCACATTAACATCATGCTAATTTCTCACATTAACATCATGCTAATCTCTCACATTAACATCATGCTAATTTCTCACATTAACATCATGCTAATTTCTCACATTAACATCATGCTAATTTCTCACATTAACATCACGCTAATCTCTTACATTAACATCACGCTAATCTCTTACATTAACATAACGCTAATCTCTTACATTAACATCATGCTAATCTCTCACATTAACATCATGCTAATTTCTCACATTAACATCATGCTAATTTCTCACATTAACATCATGCTAATTTCTCACATTAACATCATGCTAATTTCTCACATTAACATCACGCTAATCTCTCACATTAACATCACGCTAATCTCTCACATTAACATCATGCTAATTTCTCACATTAACATTATGCTAATTTCTCACATTAACATCACGCTAATCTCTCACATTAACATCACGCTAATCTCTCACATTAACATCACGCTAATCTCTCACATTAACATCACGCTAATCTCTCACATTAACATCATGCTAATTTCTCACATTAACATCATGCTAATTTCTCACATTAACATCACTAGCCCCGGCCACTACTTTGACCTTTTTTTAAAAGTCTGCTTCAGCAGCAGACCGTGCTTTCCCACCTGATGACGGACGCATGTGTTGCGCCCGAAACGTCGTGATTTATTTTATTTTCTACCTACGTGACTTTACCGAAAGAATCAAAGACTATGGATTCCTGCAGTCACGAAAACTTCAAATCAAGATTGATCATCGGTTGTATTGCAGATTGCCAATGTGGCTGGCACGGGTGCAACGCGGTGGTCAACAGATGGCACTGCAGCACAACCGGCCCATCTCACCCCCACGTCTCTGTGCTCCAGCACCTCGTACCGACGACCCAACGTGGAGCCACTTCAGCATGGCGTGGGGAGGGCACTCATCCAGCAGTGGGTAGACCATGGGATGCCTCAGCCTCGAGACACGCGGGAAACTGCACACGCCAACAGCTGATGAGCAAATGCTAACTTTGAATTGCAATAATATATCACAGTTACAATTTTCTATTTGAAAAAAAAATTGCCACTCCCATCACAAAGGACTTTTGAGTTGAATTGTGTTTATTCATACGTATAAATTGTACACATCACAATGACTAGGATTTTCCGAGTAGTTACAACAATGCACTGCGATTCAATTAGTAGCAATACGTGTAAAATCGTGTAAAAATGTCGATTCTGATATATGCAGTCGGTTCAATTGTTCCCCTACAGCCACTTCAACGTCGTTATCACAACGATCTTTAAAAAAATCAATTGCACGCAACCTTTTAGAAGTATAGTAGTCCCTCGGTAAACGGTGACATCGGTTAACGGTTTTTCGGTTAAGGGGCCGTTCATAAATGACGTCACGCAACTAGGAGGGGGGTCAGACATTTGTGACGATGTGTGACGAGGGGGGGGGGGGGTTTGAGAAATGTGACGTCACATCAAAATACGCAACTTTAAATACATAGACAACACGTTCCACTTAATTAAATAGACTTTTAATAAATGTTTTCTCCTACAACATCAGAGTGCAGCGCCACATTAAATACGCACTACAATGACAATAGTTTAAAGCGATTTGAAGCATGTTTTATTTTAAAATAGAAATATGGTTTGGGGGGGGGGCAGAGATTTGTGACGTCATATTTGAGGGGGGGGGGGGTCTGAGTTTTTGTGACGCCGTGTGACGGGGGGGGGGGTCAAAAATCGTACAAAATCGCGTGACGTCATTTATGGACGGCCCCTAACGTTTCGCCTCCCACAAGACCCCATGGTTTCAACTGACGTTAACATTTTGATTCACGGTATGTTCACGTTACGCACGCGGGCACCAATTTCGGCAAATTCGATCGCTCGTAAGTGGATCGAGCCGATTTATGAGCGTTTTGAACTCGACTGGCTTTGTTTACATTTCTTGGTTCTTTCGGTAAAGTCACGTAGAAGGGTATTATAAAATAATAAAAATATAACATAATACATTTTTTGTATATTATATAAAAAATTATATTTGATTATTTTCCATGTGAAATTTTTATTATTTTATTATTTCCCATCTACGTGACTTTACCGAAAGAACCAAGAATATGAATCCCTGCAGTCACGAAAGCTTTAAATCGAAATTTGTTACACTGTTTTCTGTTTTGGCAGTGAAAACAGCTCTCTTGCAGATCTCAATGATTCTTACAAATTTTTTTCAACTTATTAGTGAATTCGATGAACAGTTATTTCGGTTAACAGTAGTTTTGGCGGAACAGATTAAAACGTTAACCGAGGGACTACTGTACGCGACAGGGAACAAAGCAAATTTTGATTTAAAGCTTTCGTGACTGCATGGATTCATATTCTTGGTTCTTTCAGTAAAGTCAAGTAGAAGGGAAATAATAAAATAATAATAAAACAATTAACTAATGTTTAAATAATATTGTTTTAAAATTTTTACATTTTATTATTTCCCTTCTACGTGACTTTACCGAAAGAACCAAGAATAGGGAACAGAGCAGTATCACATCGACCGCATCATCACGCTGATCTCTCACAAACAAGGTGAGAGTGTTCCCGTGCCCTCGAAGGCAAGGCGGCGCCACTGCTCCAGAACCTGTCCCTCGCCCCAATGGACTGGATCGTGCAGCGTCGGTTCACAAAAGGCCTGCTGGGAGCAATCTAAGGCAGAGGTCGCAACCGGGTACCCGATACCCGTACCCTACCCGATACCCGGCATCCGTACTCGGCCGGGTACAGGTAGACCGTTTGCGACCCTGGTGCGGCCGGGTACGGGTACGGGTAGGCCGTGAGTCACTGGTGAGTAGACGTTTGTCACTCATTTTGGGTACGGTACGGGTAGGGAACGGCTACCCGTACCCGGCTGGGTACGGGTAGCCATTTGCGACCCTGGTGCGGCCGGGTACGGGTAAGGAATCAAAACCCGTTTACGACCTCTGATCTAAGGCAACGAGGTGATTCGACAGACAATGTGTGCCTTGCCAGCTGAATGCTTGAAGGTTTCTGGCTAGCACTGGAGATCATGCATAGTGAAATCCTCCCAGTTGGACTGTAAATAAAACCAAAATATAGACCACTCATGAGCAGCCACTCGACTGGATTGAAGAGCAAATAGCGGGCAATCATGTTGAAGTAGTAAAACGTTCACTTATCTCAACTATAATTTGCAATATACTGGAAGATGCGAGGCCGAAATTAAAAGGAGAATCTCAATTACACGTGAGCGTAAGAAACAGCTCAAAAGATACGTCTGGTGCTCCAACATAACAGCAGCAAAGATCCGCCTCTACGACGTGCACATCCTTCCCATACTGCCGTACGGCTCAGAAACGCGGTCAACGACAGCGCCACTCAGCTGGAAGCTGGACGCCTGCGACCGGCGGTGCCTGTGACGGATTCTCCACGTTCACTTCGGCGAGAACATCACCAACACCAAGGCCCAGGCCCGCCTTCAGACAGGGGTGCCCACTGGTGTGTTGACAGTCAGAAACAGACCACTTTGGTTTGTCGGACACTTTGTTTCGGTCGGACACCTCAGCAGATCGCACCAGAGCCCTGCGCGTGACAATCGACGGCCCACCACGGGATTGAAGATGAACCCGGCACAGGCCGTGGCGGACATGGACACGTACGATCGAGGCTGATCTTCACCACCATTGCCTTGGCCTGGATACAGTGTGGCGGCGAGCACAGGATAGTATCCCCTGGCGGCGTCTCACGAAGACCGCTATGCCTCATGATGATGATGGTGACGTGGCCATTCATTGAATTGCGAGGCAAATTGTTCATACGCCTTGCGCCTACAATTAACACGTAGGCATTGCTCTATTTTACCCTATAAAAAAATCTAGATAAAAATTTGTGTAAATGCGAATTGAACGTAAAGTATATCGCATTAACTGCCCAAGTTATAAGTTACGTAGTGAAATTCCGCATTTTTAGTTGCCGTATAACGAGGGACGACTTACCAAAAACAAATGACTTTGACTGAGGCAAAGGCTCTAGGAGAATCGAGATCAAAGAAAGGCATTATCCTTTTAGCTCCTGACAAAGGCAGATCCACGGTTGTGATTTCCTGTTTGGATTATGATGACGAAATCAAAGATTTACTGACCTAGGGCACTAACCTTAAAAAATAAATGAGCGGCAAGATCACCGCATCAGCCCTGGTTATCGGCAGAAACATTTAGCACCCTGCAATAGAAGCCCGTCTGCCCATCTTGGGTGGTGACCGAGTGGAAAAGGCAGACTGGCTACGTCGAAGGCGGACCATGGGAAGCATCGCAGCGACATCACGGACGAAGCTGAGGCTGGCATTCACAGCAACAATCTCCGGTCAGCCTTTGCGGCTGTCAAGCTTCGGGCGGGTAGCAAAGGCCGGCCCTCGGAGACTTACAAGAACGGTGCGGCGGCCGTCACCTGCAGCCACGACGCGCAGCCATCGCGGTCTCAAAGTCCCTGTAGCTCACGCGCCCGTCTAGATCCCGGTCGGTCTCTCTGCAAAACACAGCGCGGGTTCAAATAGCGGCACCTTGAGTACGGTCACATACCACAACGCCGTCTCAAAGCGCTGGGCGTATTTATTTTGAAGAGAGGCAATCAGACATCGGCAGAGGGAACAGAGGATGGTCTTGAGCTTGGACTTGAACAGGAAATCCAGTTAATTGATTAAGTACGAACCAAATCATAGGTAATGTGGGACCTTCTTTAGTATGGCCTGTGAAGAGATTCAATTGTAAGTGATTTATTCGTTACATTTTTTGTTTGTCTCAGAGTTAGTGAATCAGACACAGGAGTGTCTCCGATTTTCCACTTGTGCACGAGTTTCATCAACTAACGACGCTTGAGAACCCGGTTTAATTACAGGCGGCTGCCTCGATTCAAACCTAGGACCTCAGTGGTGCCAGCTCAGCATTCGGACCTCTAAATCACCCCGCCACATGCAGTGAGGAATAACACATTCCTTGCGGAGGGAGCTGGTAGGAACGTTGGGTTGCTCGGTCAATGGCCAGGGTCAACGGCGGCGTGGTGTATTCCGCTAATATGGCCAGCTGAGGGACGGGCACAAGCCGGCGTGAGTAGGTTAAACGTTGAGTTTTATAAGGGCACCACGGGGTGACCAGCCCCTCCCCACCCAGCCCCAAACTCCCCTCCCCACCCTCCCCACCCAGCCCCTCCCCACCCTCCCCTCCCCACCCAGCCCCTCCCCACCCTCCCCTCTCCACCCAGCCCCACCCCTCCCATTTTTGGATGCACGACGGACGGACACAATAATCCCCTGTGGGCTGGTGTAACCAGGAGGTTCCTACCAGTATTATTTGTCATTGTGGGCTTTTGTAATGGCAATGGAAGAGGAAGGCTCACCGGAACGTCTCATGGATGGTTTGCCCCGAGAGGTGTGGGGCGACGAGAGAGAAGGCCTTCCTGAAGTCCTCCACCGTCAAAAACCCACGGCCTGACACACGACAGCACAGCCATCTCTCAGAGCTGAACACACGCAGCTCTGCGAACGCAACCGAGGTTCTTTATTTTTCGTAGTAGAGACCAAAAGGCTCGCACAGAGACCTATTTAGAGATATACTGACTGAAGTGATGGAAGTGGGCAGTGGCGAGACTGTGTGGTACATAGTTTGAGAATGGTGACGTAAGTCACCACAGTCACACCGTGGGCTCGATTTAATTTTCCATCGGTTAACATCTCGCCACGGTGGCGAGATGTTAACTACCTCGCTTGGTCTAGAGGAGGTTGTGGGTTCGATCCCAACCCCGACACCTGCATATCTGGAGTTTGCATGTTCTCCCCGTGGTCGTGTGGATTTTTCTACGGGTCCTTCGATTTTTCTCTCCACATTTAGAAACATGTTTTCAGAGTAAGTGGCTGTTATACATTTTCACGCAATAAGCCACTATCATTTGTGGCCAGGTCGCTTCTGAAAAATAACTATATCATTCAGTGGGCCTTATGTGATAAAACAATTGACCCTAATGCTACGCACAACAACACACTGGGCAGCCCTATAAAAAAACACACGTGTGCACCCTAACATAGCCATGCCAGCTTACTGCAATCAACTTGCACAATAGGGATCGCCGGCCAAACGTGAACTATGACGATGGCTTTATTGCCAAAGGACAACACTGGTGATGCAATATATTAAGTAATGACTTAAAACTTTCATGACTGAAGGAATTCATATTCCTTGGGTCTTTCGGTAAAGTCACGTAGATAGAAAAAATAAAAGTAAATAAAAACTACGAGGTTTCGATCACAACACAAGCAATCTTCATCAGGAGGAAAACATATTTTTAAACACTTTTTTTTAAAACACGCTTTAATGAAATGTACTGTCCGAGCTGCCCCTCCCCCTGCTCCCTTCCCCCATCGCCCCTCCCCTCCTTCCACATCCTCCGACCCTCGGCGTGGCTCCCCGAAGCTTGCCGTGACGTAAGGGATCGTGGTGATTTACAGGCAACGTGAGTTGAGCGTGGACAATTAGACCCGTAAAAATGATTGTTTAAAAATATATATTTTACATTTTTAATGATAGAATATTGTCTTGTCATCAGTATGACATACCAACACCAAGTTTGCAGTCGATACGACATTGGGAAGACGGCTGAAATTGAGTTACAAGATTTGAGGATACAACAGAGTGAGTTAAATAAAATAGTGTAAAATGTTTTAAAATGTTTTAGATTTTTTATGATAGAATATAGTCTTGTCATCAGTATGACATAGGTATTTAAAGTTTGCAGTCGATAGCACATTAAGTAGTGGGTAAAAATTAAGTTACAATATTTTTTGAGGATACGACAACAGACGGAGTGAGTTAAATAAAAGCATGTAATAAAAAGGAGGGAAGGCGAGTTCATTTTAAAGGTTTAAAAATGGGCCTGGCACAAGCATCCTGGTATCAGAACGAAGTGGGCGGGGTAGAGAGCACCATGTGTGCGGTACGAGAAGTTCCAAGAAAGACACGGAAGGTGACAAGAAAGAAACATCGCAACCAGTCATGACAAAACAGGTTGACAACGTCCTTCCAATGATTTCTGAGTTTGTAC